CCGCCGCCCGCCCCGGCCCCGGCCTGAGGCGGAGCCCCCTCTACCCGCAGGGAGAGCCGCCCTTCCCGGGCAGTTCTGGGACGTGGTGGCGGTGACGGCGGCGGACGCGGAGCAGGGCCGGGCCTACCGGCGGCAGCTGGCGGAGAAGCTGAGGGGGAAGGAGCTGCCGCTGGGCGCCCGCTACCATGTCTTCGTGGATCCCCCCGGCCACAAGATGGGTGCGTAGGGAACCCCTCCGTCTCCGACCCACCGGGCTGGGCTGGACGGGCCTCCCCCGCACCGGGTCCTGCTTGGGGTGCGGGAGGTGTCATAGAATCATAGAATGGTTTGGGTTGGAAGGGACCTTCAAGCCCCCCCAGTGCCACCTCCTGCCCTGGGCAGGGACACCTCCCACCACACCAGGTTGCTCCAAGCCCCCTCCAACCTGGCCTTGAACCCCTCCACAGCTTCTCTGGGCAACCTGGGCCAGGCTCTCACCACGCTCACACCAAACAAGTTCTGGTATCTAATCTAAATCTCCCCTTTTCCAATTTAAAACCGTTACCCCTTGTCCTGTCACTACACTTCCTGACAAAGAGTCCCTCCCCAGCACTCCTGTAGCTCCCTTCAGATATTGAAAGGCCACCATAAGGTCTCCTGTTCACTGTGATGGAGACGGGTGTCTGCACACCCGTAGACACTCGGTGTGTTTAAAAGATCACCTCTGCAGTCACAAGGACTTTGTAAAAATAAACAACAACTTAATTTCTACAGCAGAAGGCAGGGTTTAAAAGGCTCTTCTTGCTGGCCCCCCGCAGCCCTGGGTCCCAGCGTGCCCCCCGGGTCGGTGCAGATATCACCAGGGCGCTTCTCAGCAGACACTAACGTGTGTTTTCTGTAGGAAACGGTGGGTCAACGCTTCATGTTCTTCAATGCCTGGAAGATCTGTATGGTGATAAATGGACTTCTTTTATTGTGCTGCTGATTCACTCTGGTAATGCTGATTTACATTTCACACTCTAAAATTGTATACACCCTCCTTTTTCTTCTAAGAATAATATAATGGCAGAGAAGGAGTCGGAGTTGTGACATACAGTTCCCTCCGAAAAGTAATCCCAGATGTGCCCGATCTGGTCATTTGGATTCAGATTGATCCTCAGCAGACTGTGCTGGCACTGAAGCGTTTCTTCCCGGCACTTAGGTCGTTCAACCAAACAGTGGGTAAAGGAGTGTAATTCAGAGTATCTCAATTAAGCTCCTGTCTTGAAATTCCCATGGAAGGAGCGTGTCCCCATCTGTAGGGGAGCTCGTGCTCCCCCTGACTGCATGACAGACAAGTGGTCCTTGTTCCAGCTCTGAAGCAAACTAAAGGCAGTGGAATCAGAGACAATTTTAATATAGGCCATTTAGGTGATGGTGAATTTTGGACATAAGGTCAGATCTGTGTTGAGAAATGCTGAAGAAGAGGGTTTGATGATTTTTTTCACATCTGCCACCTTTTGAGGAGGACCGAGCTGGGGGGTTATACCTCTGTGTAGATGTGAAATAGCTGTGCAGGTTTAGTCTTTGCTCACTTACAGACAGTGTCTCTGTACCATTGAAAATGTCTTTTTCCTCAAGGTGGTTACAGTCAGCGTTTACCAAACGCAAGCGCCCTGGGGAAGATTTTCACGGCTTTGCCTTTTGGCGACCCCGTGTACCAGATGTTGGACCTGAAGCTGGCCATGTACATCGACTTCCCCGCTCGCATGAAACCGGGCGTTCTCGTTACGTGCTCAGACGACATAGAGCTGTACAGCACGGGGCCCACAGAAACCATCACCTTCGACAGACCGGGATTTACCGCGCTAGCTCACCCTTCGGATCTGACAGTGGGCACCACTCACGGAGTGTTTGTTCTGGATCCATCCAGCTTTTCAGGAGAAGGAGGCGTTGAATACACGTCTTGCCATCGTTTCCTGCACAAGCCGGATGTTGAGACGATGCACCGGTGTGGTGCAGTGTGCCTCAGGGGGGGTTCTTCTCAGCAGAGTCCCTCAGAACGGGGCTGGGAGTGTGTGTACACAGACAGTATATTTTACATGGATCATGGCGTTGCGGAACAATTACTGGCATTCTATAAGCAGATGGGCACTCTTTGCTGTGAAATAGATGCCTACGGTGACTTCCTCCAGGCCCTGGGACCTGGGGCCACTCAAGATTACACACAACACACCGGTAACGTGACAAAAGAGGAATCCCAGTTGGTGGAAGTGCGGCAGAAGCTGTACTCCCTGCTGAAGGGAACTCCACTTAACATCATAGTCTTAAACAACTCCAAGTTCTATCACATTGGAACGACGCAAGAGTATTTGTTTCATTTTACCTCTGATAGTGAGCTGAAGTTTGAGCTTGACTTGTTGCCTGTGGCTTTTAGCAGCTTTTCTGAGAGCACTGGGAGCTCAGATCCCTCAGCAACTGTCATCCAGAGTGTGCTGGAGCCGGGGTGTTCCGTGGGACCTGGCTCCGTTGTCGAGTACTCCAGAGTCGGCCCTGAAGTCTCCGTAGGGAAGAACAGCATTATTAGTGGATCCCACATAAATCTGAAAGTAGACGTTCCTTCCAACTGTTTTCTGAGTTCATTAAGTATAAGAATGAGCGACCAAGTGAAGTACATAAGTATGGTGTTTGGTGTAGAAGATGACTTGAAGAGGAGTGTGAAGTCGCTGTCAGATCTACACTCACTCCGTTTTTTTGGGGCCAGCCTCCCGGAGTGCTTGGGGCGCTGGGGTGTGCAGGTTTCCGACCAGCTCTTCTCCTCTGGGAGCACACGTCTGGGGCTGTGGACCGCGCGGATTTTCCCTGTTTGCTCTACTTTAATTGAATCAGTTGAAATGTCATTAAAAATGTTAAATTCTGTGCAGCGCGCGTCAGCTTTTACATTGAACGGCTTTAAGCTGTTGTCTGTTGAAGAAATGCTCGCCTGCAAAGATGTGGAAGACATGTTGAAGTTTAGGAAGCAAATTTATGATGAAATCTGTCTACGAAGGGGAAAAGAGAAGTTGGATTTGTAGAATGAACTCTACTTGAACCAATTTCTTTTTTTCATTTTTGGGTGATTGATTGCTTCCCATCTTGTAAAAATCAGAAGAAGAAAGTACACAGAGCTTTGCTCTGATTTCATTGAAGTAGAAACAATGACATTACTTTAACAATGCTGCTGTAGCGTAACATTAATAATGCAGCAAATGCAGATAAACTGTGCTTTTGATGAAAGAATGAAGTATTTCAGATCTCTGAAAACACTAATTGGTGACTTTTCTTGGGGTGCATGTTCTCATGTTTTGTAGTCTTTGTCAGTAAGAATATGATACAGAAGAAATTAATTAGAAATCTGCCCAAAAACTGCTTGAAAAGTTTTTAAAAGTAGAGCATTAGCTCCAGCACCGTGGAACGATACAGTGATAACTTGTGTTTCTGGATTTCCAGGCTGCCTTTTTACAGTAGTATTTCAAATAGGTAGGGGTAAATTTATTAAAAGTACTTTTAAAATCAAGACGTCCTGTCCTAAGCATTAATAATTTTCTTTCTCTATTTTTTCCATTCTGTAATTTTTTTTTGTACTTTCTTGTTTTTCGCGTCCTGTCCTAAGCATTAATAATTTTCTTTATTTTTTCCATTCTGTAATTTTTTTTGTACTTTCTTGTTTTTCATCAGAGGAGAAGGATTTGCATGAGAGATTATTCTTTCCCTTGTGACTATAAGTATTGGGGTCAAAACCTGGCATCAAGACATACTGGTTTTGTTGGGGTTTTTTTCTGAGCAAATAGAGGTTTTAAAAGTCACTGTAAAATAATAGTTTAATTGTGGAAACAGCAGTAGATTTGAGAACATTAAGGTCCAAGATAAATGTAAAGTAAAAGTAAAAATAGTTATAGAACAGGGAGCACGAAACGGTGGTTTGTATGTCATCCTGTTTGCATCATGTACTCATCTATTGTTCGAGTATACAAAACGCTCTGGGGAAAACAAACGTTAGATGTAGACCTTGCCTCTTCTGCTGGAGACCAAACTTTGTTCTGGAAAGACTTCCCTGATGATGGCTTTACTGCTAGACAAGCTTTCTGGATATTTAGTAACACTAAAATTAAGTTGCATTCTTTTAACATGATTATTCACTTTAACTCTTACAATTGCATTTATTCTCGATTCCTTAAGTACCATGTATTGATTTCATTACTGAAAGCAATCTGGACATAAATAGAAAATGGATTTGCTTCTGACGCATAAGTAATGGGAAGAAAGAACGAGGAACAGCGTACTGACTGAAGGGCTTTGGAAAGCATTGGGGTAGCCTGGATCACACAGCAGCGGCTGTGGTCTTGGAAGCAGAGTTCTTCTAAGGAAGCTGGGTGTCAGCATCCTCAAAACGTGACGTTTTTCCTGTTCTGATCTTCTCTTCCGCTGGGCAGTTTGTAGAGCACGGCCCCGTGAAGCTACTGCTTGAACAAACAGTGTCTGCGTTCAAACACCCCAAACACGCAGTCAGACACTGCTGCATTTATAGATACTGAAATACGTGAGCGAGTGGAATTGCTGTGGCTGAACACTTCAGTGTGGGGCTGGAAATACTTTCTTAACCTTTGAATAAAGGCCTGACATGATAGATTTTTTGCAAACCGGTGAAGGATGTAATGTCCAGCCCCATTTAACAGTTCTTAGCAGCACATCAATTAGTTGCCCTGTTAGGACATAAAGCATTCAGACCTTGAAAAACCGGTGAAGGATGTAATGTCCAGCCCCATTTAACAGTTCTTAGCAGCACATCAATTGTGCTGCTATGTTAGGACATAAAGCATTCAGACCTTGAGGCAAAGAACTTAATAATAATAAAAAACATCTCTTGTAATGGAATAAGCATAGATTTGATTTGCTAGGTAGGAACCGTTAGACTGCTCTAAGCCTTCATGCCACTTCACACTTTCCTTTTCAACTAAATGTTTTTGTCTTGAATTTTAGAAAGTGGATTTTGGTCAGTATTAGCCATAGTTAATGGCAGCAGGCTTAACAAATTTATTCCACAAGTATTGAAATATCTGAATTTTTAATATTTTTCATTTTTAAACTACAATCATTTTTAATGTAATATTTAATTAAAACATTAAACATTATATTTTATTTTACAGAGCTTTTAATTATTTTCCCATCTGTTTTTACATCATACAGTGTTATGTGCATGCATGCTCACGCACAGTCTGTAAATTCAGTCTTGGACTCCACATTTAGGAATAGACCAGAGTTTGTAATTATTTTCCCATCTGTTTTTATATCATACAGTGTTATGTGCATGCATGCTCATGCACATTCCACATTTAGGAACAGACATTTTGATGTGTAAGCTCCTACTAAGTTCAGTTGAGCCACAGGAAGTGCATGTTTGCCCATTGAATTTCTAATGCATCCATAATCCTTTGTGGTCTTTCTTGCTATCAATGAAATTAATTATTATTGTGAAGCATGAGATTAGAAAGTTTATGGAAATATTCAGAGAAAATGGACCGTGCCGTAGAGAACGTTAGGGCATGAAGATGGATAACGGGATTGGCAATCCGGGCATCCAGCTGCCAAGGGCTGGTGGAATTTAGGAGTTAAAACACACATCCATTGCACTTTGCTGAATTCTGCTGAGAAGATTTGGGAGAATGAGGCATGTGTTTCTGCAGGCTTTTTTGTGATTTTTAAATGCTGCAAGGTGGTTACAGAACATTGCTGGTTTTGTTGATTTTTCCTGCGTCAGTTTCAGAATGAAATCTGAAAACCTGGGATGAGTACTGTTTGGTTGAAGTCACCAGTTTTGCTTTCGCTGTAGGCAGGGGCCAGGGATTTGTCCCTGGCGAGCGTCCTGGTGCAGTAAAGGTTCCCTGAGCCCAGGAGGGAAAGGAGTCTCCACAGTGAGGAAGAGCAAGTGCTGGGGCTGCAGAGCAGAGGAGCAGGGGCAGGAGCAGTTAGTCTGTCCTGGATGGGATATCACTTTTGAGTTAACATAGTGGTATTTCTGTCAAGGAGAGAGAGAGGGGATATACATAAGCGAGTGTTTGTATGTAACCTTGATGACAGAGCTGAACAATAATGTCTCTATTGAGGCATGAGATAGCTCTTTGCTGTGTGTATTGCAGCTATTCAAGACGCGTGCAGGGGTTTTAGCTGTAACAAATTCTAGTCCTTACAACAAGGGCTATGTTATAGTGTGATCAAATCTTATTAAAATCAGAAAGGCTTCCCACTGGGCGCTTCCTGACAGTAATAATCTAAGTTTGATGTACACAATCTGTGTATGTATTTTATTCATATTGCATTTTACCAGCTTAAGCTTATCTTTCTTTTTCACAGGCTGCTGTTAAGGTAGATGACAACAATTTTCTCATGCAACCAGCTGGGATAAACTCATCCCAAGGAAACTGAGAGACTTGTGCAAGGCCACACAGTGAAATTTAACAGCGAGATAATAGTGATTGTGGGGTTGCTGGTTTCTAGTGTCAGATTCTGAAAATGAGACCATTCTGGCATCCTGGCCCATGATTTTCCCCCAGTCTGATAGTAAAGGATGCAACGCTGAGAATGACAGTCAGGCAAGACCTTCTAGGAGCAAGAGGCAGCCGTTGAAATCTGGACTTTCATTTTGGTTAAGGCTTATTGAGTTTCCCAGATGGACGCGGTCTTTGTACGGGCTCCTAGATCATCGCCTGGCTCCGTCTGCCCTGAAACGCCACTCAGGCTGGTACAGTCTCAAATAAAGCCAAGATGAGTGTTTAATGATTTTATTCATGTCAGCTTACTTTATTTAATTAGTTTTGCTGTGTAGTGCAATAATAGGGCTCATAATGAACATCATCTTAATGATTTCCCTGAATGCTTTGAGAGCATGTTATAATGAACAGAGATTTAGCCATACTGTATGTATCACACTATGAAATTTGAGAGAGGGGGATTATTTCTGTAACCTTTTAGGCAGGAAATTGAAATCTGAGAAATTGGGCACTTAAAAAGGAACACAAGGGAAGACAGCTGAAATAAAAATGAGCAGCTGAAAGATACCTGTACCAGAAGGATTTGGGGAACTGACGGAAGAAAACAAGCTCCAACAATCAGTTGGATCTGCGTAGAAATGTTCTCAACTTGGACAGGGAGTTTGTCTGTTCTGGAGCTCAGCGGTTCCAGCCTCTTCCCGTTCCTAAATCTCTGAGGCAACAGCTTCATTTTATCCTCTCTGCACATGTGGGAAATTAATCCCTGTGCAAATGCCACTCTAGTACTGTGAGAACAAAAATAGCAATACTATTCTTCTTTTAATCCACTGCCACAGAGAAGCCATTGTAAACACCTGTTTCCTTATATGGGCTACAGAGTTCCTTGTACTTCGTTTTCATTCAAATACATTTTCTTTTAATGCCCTTTTCATTTTCTGTGACATATCTGAATGTCACCAGAATGACATTGAAATGTATATGAGAAACTTACCGCCTCTCAAAGTAAATGGTAGATATGGATATGTTCTAATTAATTTGAAATAAAGATGACTTCAGAAAACTTAATCCTGTAAAGCCTCCCTGTGAAGGACATTTAAAACCAGAAAAGGGAAAAGAATTTTTCATGTTTCTCTGGTGAGATTGGGCATGACAGCTGCACATTCCAAACATAAAACTGCAATAAAACTTTTTAAAAATTAATCAAAGAAATTTGTACAGCTCAGTAGTTTGTAAACATTACATCCGAAGACTTTACTCGCTGAAAAACATTGCTCTTGACATTTTAGTGCTGCTTGTACAGATGTTCATTAGAACTGGCCTAACACAGCAGTCACTGCAGTTATTCCTTTCTTCTCTGTTTGCAAACGGTCTGCAAACAGGCTCTGCGATTATTATTAATTTTTGCCTTTTCTTTTCCCCCGTAGTTTCAATTATTCTGCAACTGCCTCTGATATGAATGCTTCAGGAATTCACCTGCCAGTTGCTTTCATGATGAACAAAGCTGTTGTGTCAATTTCACCGACTGCCGGGATCCTCCTCCTGTGCTGTAGTTTCTGGTGCTCTTCCCTGCGTGTCCAGACCAAGGAATCTTCACCCACACAAACGTCTGCAAGGAGTGAATAAGAACATGGTATAGAAGCTGGTGACTTCTTCTCGATATATTTTCATAATGTAGGTAGTACTAGAATATAACTAATATGCAAGGTATTTACGTCTTTTAAAGCAAATCATTTCATATCTCTCATCGTGGATATTTAATGCTCTTTATAAAGCATTTTTATATTTTTACAGCCTTGATCATGAGGGTTTCTTTCATAAATCTCAAGACTTTTACAAAAAAGGACAATATGATTACTGGTTTTATTATCATTAAGGTGAAGACTGAAGTGCTTTTACCCAGATCATATGACACAATAGTGGAATAGTGTAAAATAAAAGATGCCATAGGAATGATGCCCACAGGACGTGCTGTCCCAGGTAGCAGCTGCAGATGATGTTTGCTGAGGGCAGGCAATGGCCACACGCAGCCCTCCCGGCTCCCTCCGTGTCCCTGGGGCGAGGGGAGCGGGGGCAGGCTGGGCGGTGCTGGGGGGGCACAGCACTGCAGAAGGCCCAGCCATTTCGGGTGATGGGCCCCATTGCAGCTTCCATGCAGCTGGGGCAGGAGGGTCGGAGCAGAGGCCATGGCACAGTGCTGCACACACCTGCGGGGTGGGCAGGAGAAGGAGGAGTCTCAGACACCTGAGAACTGATTCCTTACTCTGTACCAGCAATAGTGTGACCAGCAGGACTGGGGCAGTGACCGTCCTCCTGCACTGGGCACTGGTGAGGCTCCAGCTCGAGGGCTGGGTCCAGTTTTGGGCCCCTCATGACAGGAAAGATCTTGAGGTGCTGGAGCGGGTCCAGAGAAGGGCAATGGAGCTGGTGAGGGGTCTGGAGCACAAGTCTGGTGAGGAGGGGCTGAGGGAGCTGGGGGTGTTCAGCCTGGAGAAGAGGAGGCTGAGGGGAGACCTTCTCGCTCTCTCCAACTCCCTGAAAGGAGGGGGTAGCCAGGGGGGGTCGGTCTCTTCTCCCAAGGAACAGGCCATGGGACAAGAGGAAATGGCCTCGAGTTGCTCCAGGGGAGGTTTAGGATGGATATTGGGAACAATTTCTCCCCCCAAAGGGCTGTGAAGCCTTGGCAGAGGCTGCCCAGGGCAGTGGTGGAGTCCCCATCCCTGGAGGGATTTCAAAGCCGGGCAGAGGTGGTGCTGAGGGACATGGGTCAGTGGCAGGTTTGGCAGTGCTGGGTTGATGGTTGGACTGGATGGTCTGAAAGGTCCCTTCCAACCTTGATGATTCTATGATTCTATGTGATCCAACCATTGGAGACACCGCCGCCTTCTCCTGCGCCGCAGAGGCCTGGCTGCACCTTTTGCAGAGCCAGGAGGTCCAGCTGCGGGCCCTGCTTTCAGAGCAGCTCCTAAAATCACAGGCTACAAAGAAAAAGGCTGATCTGTCTTATTGGACAATCAAAGATAATCCTAATATGGTAAACACCCTCCCGCATGAGTGGATCAGAAAACGTTCAGAAAGCTCCATTGCTCTGTAAAGACCAAATGCGTCCCTTGCTGAGCTCCTGACATAGCCTGGGCTGCCGAGGGAGGTGTGTGCTGAGGGGAACGTGTCCTGCAGACCTTCTTACCCCAGAACGCTCTAGCAGGAGGGAGAGACGGCCAAAACACTTGCCTTTGCACAGCTATGGCTGCATTTCAGACATTTGGAGAGAAACAAGCAGCACTCAGCTACTAGAAGCGGCAGGAGAGGAGATACCCGTCTCCGAGCTGCATTTCCAGCTCTCCCAGTTGCTTGGCAACTAGATGGGGAGGATCGGTTACAAGGCTGGTGCCTTTTTGCAAATATTTGGTTGAATATCACAGGGCATATTGTCAAAGCAGTTCAAAGTCTTCTGAAATACATCCTTGGTTTCATGTGTAAATCAGCGCGAATAATGGATGAGCTGGTGCTACGTTGGGAGCTATCACAGGAGTGCGAGTTTGTTTACAATGGGATGCAGCTTGTTGAAGATTTTATATATGTGTATTATATTAATGTATGTCTTCTGTCCTGGATCCTGAACTGAGACAAATAAGAAACGTACACACAGAGCTGCTGCCAAGGTCAATCAACACACTCTAAATATATAGATGTGTATCTAAAAGTAAATAAATATAGGTGTGTATATTTATACACATGTGACTATTTGTATACCAAATAAATAAAACAGCAAAAGGAGAAAAGGAGACACATACAAAAACCAGCATGAATCCCCGAATTCCTGGGACAATATGTGCAAAGTAGTCCCATTTGATGGAGAACGTGGGGAAATGGAGGTGAACAGGGCAGACAGTAGATGGGCAGATCTGTGCTCACCGGATCACCGAGGACATTCCGTGTGGGGGAGTGAAAAGCGGTGTTACTGGGCTATTAACCACCTCAGGCAGTTCTGAAGCACAGTCTCCAGGACTGCAGCTCTGCACACAGTCAGGATTCGCTCTGTTGTGATCCGTTTGCTCGGATGAGTACGGACACGGAGCCGTTTGCTCAGGTCACCCTGGCCATCAGCCAGGTGCTGGGGGTGTCACTGCGTCGCTGGGGCAGAGGGGCCGAGGTAAAATGCGAACAAACAGGACAAATTGGACTGAGCAAAGGATTTATACCTGGTCCTCAGCTGCCTTGTTCCTGGTCTGCCTGAAACTGGAACCAGGCAGTTTGGCTGTGTCCTCCTCCATCTCTGGAGAAATTCTGGCCAGAGCGGGAGCAGGAGCGGAGTGACCTGGAGAGTCCCCTCCCTGTGTGGCCAGCCCAGTTGCCAGCAGGTCACGTCCTTCACCAGCGGCACCACAGCCCTTTCCAACAGCCGGGCTGCTGGGGGAATCTCTGTGGAGCTTCTGTGCATGGTCCAAATGTTCTGGGCTTCCTGGGCATAACAACGTGCACAAATATCACCCAACCACAAAAAGCCAGTACTCTCTGGCGTGACACATCCTAAGTAAGATACCCAGGTGCTTCACAGCCCTCCCCCGGGTTAGGATTCATTTTGACGTGACGAGTTGAGATCATCCCTAGCCTCTCCAGACTGGGGACCCCCAGAACTCCTCAGGGATCCTGAAAGTATTCTTGGGATTCAGCTTCTAAAACTCCTTTTTCTCTACAAAACCAGTAGCAAGCTCCCAAATCACCCACTTCCCCCCAGTGTTAGGGATTCAACAGATGAGAGCAACTGTTTCTGTTGGAACAGACAGGAGGGTTTTGAGCAAGCTGATTAGGTGCCGTTATTATTTTTTTTTACAGTTGGCAGCACTGCCAGTTTTGCTCCGTGTCATTGTTGCATGACATTCCATTTGGCACAGGGTTTATTTTTAGCCAGAGACTATCAAAAGTATTTTTCAGTGGGACTGTCACTGCTCTTGAACAAGGAATCATATTACTGCAGGAACTTTGCTGAAACAAAGAAGATATATTGGACAAATGGGAAATTATAAATCTAGACCAACCCAAACTTGCACTGGTAATTAATGCTGCTTTTTTAAACGCAATATACCATACATCCATCTACAAGATGGAAATGATATTTCAGGAAAGAACTCGTTGCTAATTTACTCCTGAGTTCAAGGATAAGGTATTGTGTTGTTCTTGGCTTACAAGAAGAATGACTTAACCCAAGTCGCATACGCAGTCTGTAACAGAAGACAAAAAGCTAGTAAACTAAATTTCTTTGTGTAACCCTGTAAGATCGTGTTAACTTAAATTATTGTGTTGATTTAACTCATACTTCATTAGAAAAACCGTTAAACTTCTGACTTTTTTATGCTGTGTGTCTCTGCTGAGATTTAGGAAATAAGAGCTAACAAATGCAACCTGAGGCTTGAGTTTTCTCTTGTTCAAGTTAAAATCGTTTCTGATGAGGATTCATGTGTATTAGTTGTCTATGAAATCAGTGTCTATGTGTCTATAATTGTCACAGCAAAAACAGTTTAATAGCTGTAATATTTTAAACTTTCACACTTTAATAGGAAATACGTGAAAGAGTGTACAATTGGCTGTTTAAAAATGAGGTACTGTGGTTACTGGGACATTATCATGTGAGTTGCTGGTTTGATGTGTTTTGAAGCATTTTATGAATCAGGGGTTTTTTGTTGTCAGATGAATGGAAGAAGAAAGTTAGTGAATCGTATGCTATAATCATAGAACGATTAGAAGATGACCTGCAAATCAAAGAAAAGGAGCTGACAGAACTGAAGCATGTTTTCAGGTAAAATATTCTGGAAACTTATTTATTAATTTCTTTCAAATGAATATTTGCTATTAAACAGTATTTTCAGTTTCAGGTGTATCCTTATGGAAGGAATGTCTCCCATATGCAATGCACATTCTTTAATGTCTATTTTTGGGAATATGTCACTACAGTTCTGGGCCAGAGCCCCACAGCATAGTACCAAAATTAGTGGCTGTTAATTACTAATGCTAGTATTTTACAACAAACATCTGTGTACTTTTGTAAATTAATTAGCTTTAATGGGGTGTCCACATTTATTGTTGTACTTTTCAGTTTTGCTAAGGTGTTTCTTCAGACTGTCATATTGCTGAAGTAACAGATTATAAACAAACACAAAAGAAGATTATCTTCTGAAAGTGGATTTAAAATTCCTGATTGTGATCACTTTCTCAGCACAGCACGTGCTAACAACCAAGGTCACCCAGCCAAGTGACATGGGCATTACCTGAACACCTCAAATACAGAAAACACCCAGCTCACTGACTGTGAATAAGTAAAGAAAATAGTCAGGTAAATAATTTCAGGCATCAAAACCACTTAAAAAAATAGAGGATTCTAATCAGAAATAAATCACAAGCTCAAAAAAGTCGAACTGGTCATACAGATGTCATGCCCATGTCAGTCTCAGTAAGAAAGGGTTTATATTTTAAAAGGAGTGAGAAGTATTAAAATCTTGGTTTTAATTACAACTTTGTTAACTATGTTTAGCAGTGCTACTCACTCGGGATGGATTTCTAGATACAGAAGTCTAGGTGTTCTGCTAAACCATGATTATTGTTGTACTGATATTGAATGGAAAAAACCCTGAATTTGACAGACCGATATCGGCATTCTCCACAAAAGTATTAATTGCTATGTGTATTTAATTGTCAACAACTGTAATTACTGAGAATATTTGATGGAGCAGTAACAAGTCAATCTGTGATAAAGTAAACCCATGAGACTCGACGGCAGAAGCTGAAGTGTTCAAGTAGAGTAATGATTTATCAATCTGTGAGTAAAAATAGTGATCACTTTCCTTCACACTTTTCAGGGGCTCTTCGTCACTGTTTAAAAAATAAATGTGACACTTCAGGCATTCAGGAATTTTTCAAGTAAAGCTATAATGGCATTTGGATAGGACTTGTAACCAAAGGTGGGTAGAGCCCCACACTGTCACACAGAGCATCAAAGACATTCTGAATGTCTTTTAATGAGTCAAACTTGCTATGGACCCTATTTAAGAGTTACTACATTAGAAATGTATTAATAATAATTACTTCATTTTAATTATTCATTTCATCTTTGTGTGGCCTAGGAAGCACTACGAAATCATTAAGCTATGTAAAAATGTAACACTGTACCAAAAATGTGGAAGAAAATTAAACATTAAATTGAGCTTCACTTTCCCAGTGTCACAATATGTAAGTGACATTTAGTTGTCTGAGACTTTTAAGTGTGAACAAGCCTTTCCTTGTGAGTACAAACTATAGTATTTTAATTGTTAATATCAAAATCAGAAATACTTGACCACAAGATTATGTGAAGTCAACATGGGGACCTATAAATTATTTTAAAATTCTATTTTAATGTATCACAATAAAACAAAGCAGAAAAGCAGAGCTATAAAATCACACCAGCCTGCTGAGCATTACAGGCCTTACTTGCTGAAAGGCTTTTCTGGTTATTCTTCTGACTTGGCTTGTTTGCCTCTAGTTCTGTGCATATCCTGCGCATCATTTTAGAAAAAATACATTGATTTTTAAAATAGTTCTTAGTTAGTATTGCATCAATTAAAAAATGGGTTTGTACAGGTTATTTATATTTCTAAAGAATTTTTCCTCTTTTTTTTCCCTCTAATTTAGCTGATTTTAGAATATGTATATTGTAACTGAATAGCAGTATTGTTCAGGAAACTATAAATCTTGACTGCTCACTAGTTATTAGTAAAGCATTTCTTACAGAGTGTAAACTGGTATAAAATTAGCCCCGTGTCTCAAAAAAAAATTATATTGAGATTTCTCTTTTAATTTTTTTTTTCCAAATGAAAGAAACTGTGGTAAAGGATGAAAATAGTAATAATCTGTAAAATCTCTTTTTTCAGCTCCGATGAAGCCTTCTGCAAAGTCAATTTAAATTACCGCACAGAAAATGGGCTCTCTCTTCTTCATTTATGCTGCGTATGTGGGGGTATGTATTTTAAAAATTAGGTTCTTTAAACACTTTATCTGCATGACTACTGATTTGTTCTGTCCAATAGCTGCCAGGAAGGTTATGTTTTCAGTGAGTTTCTCTCCGTGTTGCCCTTGTTGAGAGATGGATAAGCACCTCTAGCCTTGCTCTCAGTTCCACCGCTGAGTTCCACAGAACCCCATTATGGCTGGTTCTCCACCCCAGGAAAAGTTCTGATTGATAATGTGGCGTTTTTCACTACAGTTGTTCAACTAATTTGATCAACCCGTACTCGTCATACAGCATTGCTCTACATTTCTGCACATGGTGTAGACTTCAGGCCAGGGAACAACTTTTAGCAATACTTTGCCGTACATACAACATCTATTTTTCTGGTCTAATGAAAATACCTGTCTTTTATTTCATGGTGATTAAAAGAACAACTCAAATGTTTTAGTGAAAAAAAAACAGCTGATAGGATTGTAGTACAGATTGGAGTACACAAGAAAAGAGTGCAAGGTGTGTTGTGGGATGCCCATAAAAACACACTAGTGGTGGAATTTTCCACTTGGATCCACACTGCTGCTGTTACCCACATAGTGAGCCATCAGTTCATGTACACACTTTCCACTTGTTGTACAATTTTCAGCAGAAATTGGGTGAGAGAGGCTGAAGAGAATTTTACCCTAAGCTTCCAGCTTGTCAAAGTACTTAACGTGCATAAATGATGTGCTCATCTTAGATGCTCTCATGAAGAAGGGCCTGATCCTGCACACTGGAAACTGAGTGGATCTTTACACTTGATTTCAGAGAGTGCAAGATCAAATCCAAAGATGTCAATGGTACCTGGTAACATTAGAGCCATGGGTGGGATCGCAGAGAGGAAATTCAAGAAAACATGCAGTGTTAATTCATTAGGGATGGAATGTGACCACTTGAAGGAGGGAGAGAAGCTGTTAAATCCAGCATTGTCCCTGATCATGGTCATAGGTATTCAGAAGGCAGATACATTTTTGAGACCCAAGTCTCAAAGTGTGCACCAGAAGGGAAGGGGTAAAGGTCCTTGTCCATGCTGACACTCACCAGCATCCCCCAAAGCTGTCCTGCACTACTGCTGTGGGGAGGGAGAGCAGTGCTGCCATTCTGAGCTCAGTGCCTGAGAAACCAGAGCTTCTGGAAGCACCTGCTGGTGCATGGAGTCCTTTGCAGCACGGTCTGGATGTTAAAAGAGGAGTTTGCTTCTTTAGAAGTTCAACTGTCCTTAAGGAATCCTTATAAAAGCATGAACAGTGAGCCAGCCCATGGCCGGATCTGCAGCTGTCCCGCTGGGTGAGGAGGTGGTGCTGATTCCATCTGGAGGTTTCACCAGATGTATTTCATGACTTGCCTCAGGTCGGCAGATAAGCTACCTATTTCTCTTTACTTCCAGACTCACACAGAAGTTTCTTAATTCATCTGTGCATTCTTCTCTGTAAATGATTTTGTTTTCCAATTCTCACCCTAAAGGTAACAAATCACACATTAGAACTCTTATGCTAAAAGGACTGCGCCCGTCCAGACTAACAAGAAATGGATTTACAGCTCTGCACTTGGCAGCTTATAAGGTAAATTATTTTGAATAGAATTGATGAAAAGAACCAGAAATTCCTGAAAATAGGAAAAGCATTTCAGTATGAACAAATGTTATGCTTTCACAGATATATTTTAACTGCTGCTTCTATGGCATAGATTCATTCTTGCCCTTCTTTTAGTGTCTGCTCTGAAGAGGCAGAGAAGAATGAGGAAATTTAGAGCTTTTAGTATCTTTTTTTCCCCTGTGTTGTGTGCATTTCCTCTTGGGAAACAAAGAAAAAGGACTGGAGAAGTCTCATCTCTGGGCTGGATGATGGAAGGCAGGTCCCAAGAAGTGATAATTATAGTAGCTCTAGTTGATGCAGTTAGAACAAGAGATGGTGAGAGAGATGGCCTGGATTCTCCTGCGAGTGCTGCCAGTGTCCCCAAACATATCATTTCACTTCTCTTTTTAATTTCTCTGTTTGTAAAGGAGAATTTATTAATGGTCACATTGCCTGGGCATTATGACTCCTAATGTGTTTCTCAACTGTATTTTTTTACTGTCATTTGATAGTGCCCATTGCTGCTGTTATGCCTGGAAGAAGTTGTAGTAAAAACCATGTGTATAACAGGAAAGAAGTGAAATGAATCAAAAATAAGCTCACAGTTCAGAATCTGGCTTACGTGCTGTGTATTTGTCCTGGGAACTCCTTGGGTGCCCTTCTTCTGTGTTAGATACCATAATGTTTTGACATTTAAACAGTTTGTGTAGGCTCTTAATAACGGCTTGGAGACTGAGAGATCTTTAAAGACACCATATATTCAAAAGAGAGACTTGTTTTTAGAGATGCAGGCTTTAATATGGCAACAGAGAGACTGGTGCCCGGGACAAATCTTCCTTCCACTTCCCCAGCACTCTGTGCTCCTGTGGTCACAGCCGGTCCCTGCTCTTGAAATGCAGCCACGTGAGAGCTGCCCTGACACGTCCCGCTCCCTTTGGCTCCCTCCCTGTGACTGTCAGAGCCACGTCCCAGAAATAACGTGTTTCAAACCCATGCTTTTTAGGACAATGCCGAGCTGCTAACGGCGCTGCTGCACGGGGGGGCTGACATCCAGCAGGTGGGGTACGGGGCGCTGACAGCCCTCCACATCGCCACCATTGCCGGCCACCACAAGGTACCGTCCTCATTCTCCCTGTGGGCATTGAGGGATAATATTAGCTAATAGTTACTTTACATTTCAGATTTTGCCTTTCAAAAAGAAACTCAGAATTGGTTCAGTGCAGCTAAATTTCATTTCATCTTTGCTACACTTCGGGAAAAGTACATCTGTGCATTTTTGCATTGAACAAATAGGCACAAAAGACATAGATCTGTTTGTACATCTCTTACCTTTATATAAATGTCTTTAAAGTCTTGGCAATTAATGGCATTGTTTTCTAAATATCAGAAGTGTTAACCAACAGGTACATGATGAAACACACTCACTCATACACGTCAAGGTTTCTGAACCTGGGTATGGAGAAGTCTTCTAGGTCTCACGGGCTCTGTTTCACAGCTCTGTGATTTTCACTTCAGAAAGGGACAGAGGTTCTCACTTTAGAGCTATTTTATACTTTGGATTAGTACAGAGAAAACTGTTGTCAGGGTAAGTCTAGCGTGAATCTCAAGCATCCATATTGATCAGTCTCCTGTGGGTTGGAGACTTATCGCTGTGGGGAGCAGAGGAAGGGAGAGAGGGGTGAGATTCCCTCGAGGCCTATAAATCAGGCCCTTCCCTTTCTAGATGTGCCGTCAGTCATGAATCTGTTTTCTTATCATTTACCACCTCAGTTCAGTCATTTCACATATCATCTCATTTCTGTCACCCTGGCAACAGCTCACTCAGTGCAATTTATTTATTTTTTTAATGTCTTAAAGTACTGGGTGTGCAAAATTATCTCGGTTATGAAGGGTTTATGACTGTAAACGTACTCATGAGTTCAGGTACTTCGCTTTTTAGCTCCTTTGGGTCCATTAAGCAATCAAAGATTTTGTCCTCTGCTTGAGTAAAAGTTTTAACTTATACAGAGTGCTGGACTAATTTATGGAGACAGAAACATCAGACTTCTTTAAAGAGAGATGCTCAGCGAAAAATGCAAGGAAAAATAACTATGTATAAAGGAGGAATGTACAAAAGATGACATTAATATTTGCCTTTAAGCTGTGGATTTAGTTGTGTACCTTAGATTTATAAATTCACAGTATGGGGGGTTTATGCATACTTTGTCTGCTGAGACCTTTCCCAGACTTGTGGCCACCAGGGGAAACCGAGGATACTGGTGAATTTAGCTTTCCATTGCTTGCAGCCTCCACACTGGTTCCAAACCCGACAGGTATGTTTGCAGTTCCTGATAAAGCCAGGATGGATAAGGAAGCGGTTGGTGACAGCCTTGTGTTACCTAGAGAGCATCACATCCCTGAGCTCAGGGGGCATCACGATGTGCCCTTCACATACACACACAGCTCTTTCTATTGGCTTCATGGAAATCCTCCTTGTGTAACCTACTGCTAAAAATCAGATAAGGAACCACCATATCTAATCATTCTGTGGAATTATAATGGAGGTATTAACCAGTCTTAACTCTTTAATGATATTTTTCACTTTTATGGAGTCTGTATTTAATGTTTCCTCTGTGGGAAATATAGAGTACTCTTCTCTGCACTGGACTTTCAAGTAATTTTTAAAACATCTGGGCCTTCTCTTGCAAATGTCAGAGGAAGGTCTGCTATTTGTCTCATTCTTTACCAAAAAAGGGTGCTCAGAACACAGCAAGGATAAGACCATTAACGTGATAAGAAATAACATTGTGAGTGGTTTTGAAAAGCTCCTTATTTCTTCCTTGGGAACGATCAGATCTTTATCAGCAGTATTCTCCATAAACGGAGTGGGGCTCTGTATAACTCATTTGGTTCAGCTGCTGGTCTGGGGACTGCAGATTTATAGTCCAAGGGCAAGATTTTTCCTCCATTCCTTAGGTAGCTTTGAAATTTTTGGTCAGCTGAGAAGCTCCTCTGCTAGATTAAATAGCTTATTTTGTCCTCAACTGCATTAATATTCATGGCACTATGGAATAATTTTTTCAAAGCCCATAAAAAACCAGAATAAATTTAAGAAAGAGAAAACAGATTTTTTGTCATCGTCCTAATTCCTAAGATAAATAATTATTTATATCATTTAATAAATAAATAGCAGAGATATGCACTCCAACCTACGTAACAGTCTTTTACTACAGAAGAGGACTGACTATATTAAGACGGAGAGAATTGGGATAAAAATTGCTCTGTTCCCCATTTCCCTGAAGAGTCAGCCTGTGGCTTGTGCTCCGTCACTGCCCCTGAAACCACGAGAGTGATCAGCT